GAGAGAGAGAGAGAGAGAGAGAGAGAGAGAGAGAGAGAGAGAGAGAGAGAGAGAGAGCAGCGAGTGCGTACTGCAAGACGTGATCGATCGCATCGGGAAATAAATGGCACGGATCCGCTTAATCGTCCAACGACGCAATACCAATTAAAGCTGCATTCCCGAACGATGTCTTCGCGGATCGTACATGCGCGCGCCGTACATGCGGGTTACAACCCGGCAAAATCTATCGATATCGCGCGCGTCATTGCCCCGACCTGGCTACCTTTCGATGACGCACATGCATCTTCATGCATTTCCGCGATTGCGTAGCCGGAACACGTCCATAACGCGTCCATTCGCGTTATATCAGGCCCGGGTGTCTATGCAAACAAAAGGGACATTCTTGTTTGGAAGATACCTTTATTTCTGACGTATTAATCTTCTAATAAGGAGATCACGTAGCGTTAAACGAAGGTAAGTTACTTGCAAGGATATATCTTGTGTGATTCAACGAAGAAAAACTCGTTCTTATTATTTTGATGTAATTCTCATTAACAGATAGCACTGAGATATATCGGACTGAAAATGTGTTTTTAACTGTATGTTATGTATAGTTTCTCCCTCTCTCTCCCTATCTATCTATCTATTTGTCTATCTATCTAAAACTAACTCAAATTATACTCAAATTAACGAATTATTTTTATATATGAGTAACGACATATAATCTCTTTAGAAGAATTTTAAGGTCTTGAATTTCATTAATGTTATAATTTTATTTTAATATTACAACAATCTTATAAGAAGTATAGTGTAATTATTTTGGTGACAATGATATCTTATTCCGACATTTAAAAACATCATATTCTCCATTCAATGTTTTGTACTTTCCCTTCCCCTTCATATTCATGATTATTTTTGAATAATAAGAATAGGTTTTCCTTCGTTGAGTTATAAAATATATTCTGACAAGTAACTTATCTCTGTTTAACGCTATGTAATAGCAACAAGAATGTCCTTTTTTCTGTGAATCATTATGTCATATTTATCGCATCGAGAAAGTAAAACTCAACTGGTAGTCTTCAAATTTCTTGGAGTGAAAAACGGAGTGGACACCGAGTCGTAATCGAGTGATTCTTTACTCATATGGCGTGAATGCTCCACTCTGAACCACCGAGTGAATATTTTGACTCAAAACTGAAGAATGCATTTGATGCATGCCACAGAAGAACATTCGCTCTGGTCGATTGAAATATTAGCTCGTACAGAGTCAGAATCCACTCTAAGCTCGAGTGAAACAGTCACTCTTGCGATTTCAAGTGGCAGTATTTTCTCTATCGTTCCGATAATGAAAATGCTGCCACTTCTTACTCGTTTCGAGTGAGATTCCACTCCAAGAAATTTCACTCCAGCGAGTGTATCGCTTTAAAGATTTTCTTTGATTTCCCGTAACTATACCGCTAATTCAAGTTTATTATTTTGGCTAAATCTCTTTTCACGTATTCCTTATCGTTTTACGTCGCATCATTTATCACGTTTAAACATTATTATATGTCTCTTAAAATAACCTGTGACTCAAATTATTTACAGCGATTTGCAGCATATTTTTGACTTTTTTCAATCATATTTTCACGTTTACAAAGAAAAAAAATTAGCCGAATTAACATGAAAATAATACAACTGACTGCGTGTTGGTTAAAGGAAATAGAATTTTCGGTTGTTAAGAATGGAATTTGGTTCATAAGAACTGTCTCCTTCAAGCAAAACATGTTTCCTTGCATCATTGTCATCTCTAAGAAAATTCAACCAATTTTTTTCTCCGTATTGAAGTTAAAGTTTAACGAGCATTTGTCTATTTGAAGGAAATGTAGTTCGTGACAATGAGATAATCAGTCAATTAATATTGATCCAATTTCCGCGTCTACGCAAAGTGACTCACGCAATCGACCAGCACTTTCGAAGAAAACGCGAGCGTCATCGGGAATGAGAATCTTACGTTGAATATCTCTACATTAAAATTTAGAGAATTTTTGTCTATCTTATATATATATCCGCGAAAATGAGATCATTACAGGGTCAATATCGTTCTAATTTGCGCGTCTACGCAGTCTTTCACCCAAACAGGTGTAAATTTGGCAACAGCTTCACACACACTAATCGCTTTTTAAAGGTTGCGTCTCTTATGAATATATGGCACTCACATAGAATGTTAATCTCATATAGAATGGCAAAATAGAAATACAAAAAAGACACAAAAAAAAAAACCAAACTTTGTTCAAAACAATATATCATGCAAAATATAATATGAATGCAATTTTAAGTAAATTCATAGCTAAATAAATATAAAACAATTTACATCACTATATATGATGTAAATTTAATAGTCACAATATAATCTAGTATATCTATCTGATAAACGTAGTTTCAAAAAATAGAGTTCAAGTCTATCTGAGCAAGATTTCGGAGCCAGATAGACTTTCACGATTATCACAAACTAATTGATGATGGGAACTTTACAATTTTTTTTTAATTATTAATAATCTTATTGATACATTAATAATTATTAATATATTTATAAAGCAAATGTATAATTAATCATTGAGTTTATTTGTAATGTAATAATGTAAATTATATGTAATAGTGTAAATTTGTCATATTGACGCAGCGAGAAATATATTAAACGTTGCACTCAGATTTTTGTATTATATTTTACATGGCATATCGTTTGGTGCAAACTTTAGTAATTTTTTTTTTATTTCTTTCGTATCTTTGCTTTGTCATTCTATGTGAAAGATATTAGTGTCATATAATCTGCTTATAAGGGACGCACTCTTTATAAATAATCTGATAAAGTTATTGCCAAATTTACATGAGTATCAATTCTTGGATGTACACTTTATTCTAGCCATTTTTGTAATTTTGGTTTCTGAATATTTAAAATTTTAACATCGAATACATATATATGTTCAATATATGTATATTTTTATGTTAGAAATTTAAATATATTCATATTTAAAAACCAACTCTCTAAATTTCATGGAGTGAAAAGTGGTAGTATTTTCACTCGAGGCGGAAATACCGTTACTCGATATCACAAGAATGAGTATTTCATTGAAGATCGTAATAGATTCTGGCTTCATATAAACGGATGTTTCAATCGATCGGAATAAACGTGGAATAAAGTTCCCCTGGCGGTAAAATGATTCGCTCTCTTCGAGTGAAAACATTAACGATTCAGAGAGTGGAAAATAACTCGAATTCGAGTGAATTTACTGTCACTTTACTTTTCTCTCTAAAAGATTTAGAGAGTATTCAATTTCGAGTGAAGATTTTTACTTAACAACTCAGAGCGGAGAATTTACTTTATGTGAAGAAATCACTCAAATTAGTGTGATTTGATTGTCACCTTGCCTTAGAATGAAGCTTCGCTCCAAGAAATTTAGAATGAAAACAATGTTTAGGATCGGGTTCGGGCATTGATACTTTTCGAGTCTTGCACCTATTTCGGGGAGAAAGCGCGACGGGAAACGAGGATTCTCGGCAATGGGATGGGAATTGCACGGTGGTGATGAGATCGCGGGCAGACGCGAGCGGGCGGTAATTTTCACCCGACGACGTGAGACACTCTTGGTCCAATTCAGCTTTCCAAGTCTGATTAATGGCCCGCCCACGTCCGTCCGCTCCACGTCTGCGTCTTTATCTACAAGTATACGTAGCAGCCAGTGTTGTACTCACGATATTGCCACGCTCGCGAACTCCTTTCCGAGAAAGTCTCCTCCGGCTCGAAAACACCCCTCTTGTCCCTTCTTCACGTCGCCTTCCTCTCCCTCGTCGCCGACGTGCCTCTGGCGTTTCTGGCTTTTCTCAATCCGCTCTTTCTCCTCTCTCCCAATCTCTCTCGGGAACCCCCGGGTCCTCTCTCTCTCTCTCTCTCTCTCTCTCTCTCTCTCTCTCTCTGGATAGAGCCTGTGTCGTTGATCGCGCGCACTGAACCCCGAGATCAACGCAGAGTTCACAGGTACAGAAGAGGGGTGGCTTGAACGAAGCTCCCTTCGCTCCAGTCACTGCTCCAAGAGGAGAGTCGCGCTGCACCACGAAACGAACGAACTAACGAACGACCGAACGAACGAGAGCTGATTCACTGTGCACGTATTCCCGCTGTTATTTCAGGCCGGTCGGCGGCGACGGCGGCGCGTCGTTATAGATCCTCCTTCGCTCTTTTCCACGCGGCTTCCATCCTCCAGTCTCTCCAAGGTTTCCCCTCGCTTCCGTCCACTCGGAACTCGCGCGATTTCCCGGCGACGGTACTCTCTCCTTCGAAGTCTTCCCCTGTTTTCCTCTTTCTCTCGTATGAAATTCCCGTACACAACGTTCCTCCGGTTCTCGCGGCTCTCCCCGATCTTATCACCGTGCACGCAAGGTCCATTCACTGAGACACACCAAGACTGTCACACCCTCGAAGCCGTTTCGCCGGCTTGATCGTCACTGCCGCGTGTCACTGAAGTTCGAAATTACGCGCGCAGGATCGATCGATCGATCGACCGACCGACCCCTCCGGTAGCGGCTTCCTGACAACGAGCGCGTGTCGCCGTCAAAACAGATCGCTCCGAAAACACGCGTCCGTCCTTCCGGCCGGCCACTCGCGATACTCGCTGCGCTCTGACTGGCTCTTGCTTTCTCTCTCTATCTCTCTCTCTCTTTCTCTGTCCCTCTGGTCTGTCGTCTCGTCGAGGAGGCTGCCGTCGTCGCGGCGGCGACACTGACGGGACTCTGGCACTACTCGCGGGCCCGAGAGAGGAGGATGTGCAGCACGAGGAGGAAAGCTCGGGGCGAAGTGCCAGAAGAGCCGTCGCTTGAAATAACCGCTCGTCCGCGCGCTCGTTCCCTCCGCAACCCCTCGTGGTTAGTCGTCTCTCGCGTCCCCACTACACCGCCATGGGATCGCCGGCGAAACTCGGAGCCCCACTCCGTCGGCACGGTGTACCTTCGATCCCTCTCGCTCCCTTTCTAACGCCGAGCGCGTCTCCTCGCCGTCCGTCCTTTCCTCCCCTCCTCCTCCAACCGTCCACCACCTCCACATCCTCATCCTACTCCACCACCACCAGCACTATTGCTGCCACCACCGCCGCCGTCGTCGTTGTTGTTGCTGCTGCTGCTGCTGCTGCTGCTGCTGCTGCTGCTGCTGCTGCTGCTGCTGCTGCTGCTGCTGCTGCTGCTGCTGCTGCTGCTGCTGCTGCTGCTGCTGCTGCTGCTGCTGCTGCTGCTGCTGCTGCTGCTGCTGCTGCTGCTGCTGCTGCTGCTGCTGCTGCTGCTGCTGCTGCTGCTGCTGCTGCTGCTGCTGCTGCTGCTGCTGCTGCTGCTGCTGCTGCTGCTGCTGCTGCTGCTGCTGCTGCTGCTGCTGCTGCTGCTGCTGCTGCTGCTGCTGCTGCTGCTGCTGCTGCTGCTGCTGCTGCTGCTGCTGCTGCTGCTGCTGCTGCTGCTGCTGCTGCTGCTGCTGCTGCTGCTGCTGCTGCTGCTGCTGCTGCTGCTGCTGCTGCTGCTGCTGCTGCTGCTGCTGCTGCTGCTGCTGCTGCTGCTGCTGCTGCTGCTGCTGCTGCTGCTGCTGCTGCTGCTGCTGCTGCTGCTGCTGCTGCTGCTGCTGCTGCTGCTGCTGCTGCTGCTGCTGCTGCTGCTGCTGCTGCTGCTGCTGCTGCTGCTGCTGCTGCTGCTGCTGCTCGTGCGCTTCTTCGTTGCGATGCGTTGCGCGTCGCCTCGCCTCGCACACGTGCGCGCACGCGATGCAGTTTTCGCGCCATTCCGAGACGTGAACGCGGGGACGAGAGTTCTCCGCGTTTTTCATGCGCTCGTATGCCGATCAGAAGGTTGCCGTCGATTAATTGAAAGTGATTTTCTCTCTTTTTTCTTATTACGCAACCAGACACACGAGATACAAACGAGAACCTTTCATTATTTTCTTGTTGAATATGACAAGCTATAATAAATAACCTTGTTAAAAAGTGACTTTCATATGTAATAAATTATTTTACTCATGAAGGATAATCTTTATTAAATAACGTGGAAAACAGCTTGAAAAGATAGTTGTGGAAATAGTATTTTCTTCTTTGCTGGAGAAAATAAACTGTAATAAACAGTCTTACGTATTAAATAATAAATTTTGTATTTAACAAATTGTCTTATTTATAAAAAGATAACTTTTGCTAAATAACAACATAAAATAAAGCAATACAAAATTCAACAAATTACAAAGTATAAAAAGTACTTGTCATTATCATATTTTTTTTATGAGTGTGCGAGAACCTGTGTATGGTAGCTGAATCTCGTTAACCTTTAGGCTGCCGATATTTTTTCATTAAAAAGTGATTTTTTTTCTCAAAAACTTTTCTATAAAAGTAACATACACATAGCACAGAATTTTGAGATTGGTGCAATCATCACAAAAGTGACTTTCCCGGCAGTCTAAAGGTTAATAACGTTAATCTCGTTAATAACATTGATAACGTAATCTCGTCAACTTAGAGATACGTAAAGTTTCCAATGGACATATCTTTAGTTGTGAAAGCGATGTAGTAACAAAAGTTTTAGTCGCAGCAGCGAATTTTTAGTTACAGTAATAAATATATTTTCACCAAATCATGATTAGCCGCGGTAGTGAAATTTTTTTTCGTGAACAATGTACTGGTTTTAACAATATTACTATTAAATCGAGAGGATTTACTCGAATTACAGCACTGTTGGCCAATTCCATTGATGCAACAGCACTTTTCCCGCGCAGATATTCGATATCAGGCCATTTCCTCTCTCGAGCAGGTTCGCCACTCAAATTTAACCGGGAACAAAATTGCGTGAAACTGATCTACCACTTCCTTCTTTGTAACAAAATGCGAAAGGACAAACGGACAGATCAGACCACTTTGACATGTGTACTCAAGGGATAGAATGAATGCTTCGGAAAAACGATAATTCTCTCTTCCGATATTGAATGCCTGAAAGCGGAATACCGGAAGAAGTCGAATGCGAAAATGTGCTGTTTTGGGTTAAGGTTTGGGTGAACTTTTTTGCAGCCTGTTAACATAATCCCGGTGGTGGCGTAAGTCGTCGTCATCTCTCGCAGGTAATCTCAACGCGCCGGCACGACCACAGAAACCAGCCCTATTTTTCTTTCGTTCCCCCTGTGCTACTGTGTGTCCGGAACACATTCGGGACATGTGTCGCTATCGTCGACCACCTTTTCGTTTCCCTCGGGATACCCAACACACCATGAACGACGGTGAAACGAACGGTGGTGGAACTGTCGAGATTACCAGCCTTCTCTATTTCTCTGTCTTTCACTCTTTCTCCCCCTCTCTTTCTCTCTCTCTCTCTCTCTCTCTCTCTCTCTCTTTCGCTCTCACACCCTTCTCTTTTTCTCGCTCCCTTCCCGCTCTGCCCGTGTCTCCCTTTTCCACCCCCTGGCGATGTCTGTCTCCGGCCGTTATTTATAGAAAGCCCACGATGACTCGCCTAATCGTAACGACCCGCAGACCTCGCGGATACCTATTATTATCCAGTCGAATTAATGAAACTCGCTCGTGGCGATCGCCAGCCGTGCTAATTTACGCTCGCCGCTCGTGCAGAGAGGACGCGCGTCGTCGTCATCGTCGTCGTCGTCGTATTGTGCCCGTCGTGTCTCGCGCTCTAGTCCACGAGACATTTATTTACTTAACTCCATATTCGTCGTGTCGCACACACTCTCGCGATAAATCCGATTGCCGATACTTCGCCGCTTTCGAAAAAGAACTAGTCTTCGCGGAGATGATCATTTATGAGCATTAATCGGATAAAAGTTGAGATTTGCTTCCAATAATCGCTAAATCAAAATTGATCAGTTATCATATATATCCAGATATAAATCGAATTTCTGATACCTCGACGCGCTTCCAATGTTGAGCATTAATTGACTAAAAGTCGATTCGACTCAAATAATCGGCAAAACGATAATCAAAATTAATCAATCGTCATATATTGTGTATAGTCCAGATAGTCCAGGTACATAAATTTGGCAGCGATTTTATTGATTGATTTGTCGAGTTCTTCATGAGTTCATACAGCACTTATATTTATCACATAAGAATAAAGAAATAGAAACATAACGGAAAATTTTAGTTGCAGCTGCACGTTTTTAGTTATAGCAACAAATATATTTTCATCAAATCATGATTAGCCATAGTAGTGAAATTTTTTTTTTCGTGAATGATATAGATAATGATATATTAGTTTCACTTATGATTATCTATTTGGATAATAACGAATAATTGAATCGACTGATGAGATTAAATATTAATCAAACTTTAATTGATTGTACATTGATTAATAATTAATTCATTGATTAAATTACTCGCAAATTACATTTATGACGATTGATTAGTTTTGATTATCGATTCACAGATTATTTTAATGAAATGAAATTTTAATTAATTGGCGCCCAACATTGTATTTAAGCGATGTTGTTGTCGTTAATGGAACACGCGCCGCCGCAAAATAACTCGCGAGTCGCGCCGTGTTAACGCTCGTTCGTCTCCCGCGTGAGCGCCGTAACTCATCTTGATGATTCATCGATCTTATTTTTATAGTTTAATGCTAAGTGGTCGCGCGAGCGCATCTAAAAATTTATCTGGGACAGCCTGAAAGCCGAGGGTCTTTGTAGCGTCACGTACCGTCTAAATATAAATCTTTATGGTGCCCCGTAAAAGAACGTTCCCCTTTCGACCCTTTCGGGTTACAGCGGAGTCGCATCCACGCGCCGCGTGAATTTACCTCTTGCGCCCAGCGACGAAGTAAATCTCGTTCATCAAGGTGCGACTCGTTTTTTCTCGGACAGAAAGAGAGAGAGAACCGTTAAAAGATTCATTATTTTCTGCACCAAACAAAAACTATATAAACATGGCTCTTGGGTATACAACAGAAGGAAGAGCGAGAAAGAGAGAAAACCAATGAAAGCCGATCACAATTGGTGCGAATATTTAAAAAATAGGACGACAATATTGTTTGACAACAGTGTTGAGTATTAATCAGTGAAAATTTTCCTTAAGTAAAATAAATTTTAGTCTAAATTAATAAAATTAATTAGTCGTCATATATTTAATGACGAATAATTTATTTGATTGATGAAATTAATTATTAATCAATGTGTAATAAAGCAATGTCCGAATTTGATTGATAATTAATTTTGCCAATAAATGACTTGTGATTTTATAGATCGATGAAATTATTCGTGATTTTGCATTAAAAAAATTAATAAATATTTTTTGGGTGGGTACTATTAACATTTTTTTTTTTTTGACTAATTTAACACAGATTTAAAATATTTCGGTTGGAATCTCGGTTAAAAAAAAAAGAAATTTAGAATGATTCATGTCTTAGCTATGTCGATTTTGTTAAAATTTTAATTAAAATTTCCAGATTTCTCTCTCTCTTTCTCGGTTTGGCCGAGATTCGAATCATTTTTGACTAATTTTACACAGATTTAAAATATTTCGATTGGAATCTCGGCTGAAGAAATTTGGAATGGTTCGTGTCTTAGCTGTGCCGATTTTGTTAAAATTATTTAACTATATCTTGTATTAAATTTTATTTTTTATGCATTTTTTTGTATTTGTGGATGATAGGAGTGAGAATATTAAAAAGCTATAAACTGCCCGTGAAACTCAAAATAGGCCAAAATGAAAAAAAAGACCTAAATATTTTTTATACTTCTACATTTGTACCAAATTAGAAATAAATCGGAATATATCTTTTGGGTAGGTTTACTTGTGAAAAAAAGACCTAAATATTTTTTATACTTCTACATTTGTACTAAATTAGAAAGAAATCGGAGTATATCTTTTGGGTAGGTTTACTTGTCAGACAGGACATTCCAGAGTTTTGATGCAAGAAGTATAAGCGATTCGTTAAATAGCTCTGTGCGACAATCCTGCAGCTCGTGACTCGGGTAAGTCAAATTGTAGCAGACGGAGAAAAGGAAAAGCAA